AAGAAAAAGACAGCTATCGTTTGATTATCTTTAAAGATTAAAGATGTGACAGCAGCAACAAAAAATCTTGTGAGCTTACGTCAAAGGCTAGTCGTTTTCAGAAATGCAGTGATTTTTAATTTTATTGCAAAATATTTCCTAAAGCAGCTGAAGCTCAGGTGTAACTACAATATGTAGACTGCATCTATATCGTATAACACACATATGTTACTGTAATCAACACCAGGCAGGAAGACGTTTATCTGTTCAGAACCATGTATTGTTTCGCAGATTAAAAAATGCTGCTGTGTTCTATTCAATTTTTTATTCAGTATTCCTTACATACGTTTATGGGGACATAATATCATTTATTTATAAAAGAAGAGTGTCTTGTAGCAGTGTGTCGGTGTAGTGCTTATCACATTTACCCAACAAATTAAAGATCACCAGTTTTCCTGAAGGAAACACAAACCCAGGCTCAGAAATACATACATAGAAATACATGCCGCTGAGCAAGGATTTTATTATTAACCTCAAGAGAGTAATTAGGTCAGCGAGGACATTCAGGTTCCCAGAAGTATTGTCTAAAATCAAAGTGAAGTCAACAACACTAAAAGGAACTGAATCGTGTTGCCTTGATAGTTTGAGTCCTTCACTTTTTCTTTTCCACAGTGCCGTATGAACAGCAGCACATTAAAACTCAGTAAAACTATGACTTCAGTGCTAATCAGATTCCCCGTGCGTCACATGTAGAGAATGGCAACCCAGGTTTCAACCCATCTACTCACTTTGAGTTTCTTTTACAAATACATTTCACCCACTGTTCATCAGAGGACAGAGCGCAGAGCCTTCCTCTGACATATTCAGAATTCACCTAAACACTTCAGGACATTGTGTTTCACCTGTAAGCCAGCATCTCAGCAGAAAGCTCACCCTGCCAAATGAATGTTTGATAAATCTTTTATGAGTTAGTCTTTCACTTCTCCGGTAGTACAAATGCACCATTGGCATCATTGTGCTCACATTTTTTCCGTTACCATGATAACCCTTTACCTCCTCAGTGATATGTGGATGGAGATCACTTGAAGATGGCAGTTTTCAAAAATGTTTGTGTGTGTGTGTGTGTGTGTGTGTGTGTGTGAGTGTGTGTGTGTGTGCGAGAGAGAGAGAGAGGCAGTGGATTGATGGATAGTATAAACGTCTGTGCTATCATCAGCTTTGATTGGCTTTGAGTGGCTCTGAGTGCTGGGTCCATCCCAATCGCTTTCTGGGGTTCTTAGGAGCAGTGTGTGCGTGTGTGTGTGTGCTTGATGTTCATGCTTTTTTTCTCGTGGTATTTCTCTGTGTAGATATTAAGCCCTTGTATGACCTGCAAAGTACAAAACCACACGAGGGCATCAAGCAGGATGAGTGGTTTTTAGAGACTGCTATTCAAACAGAGGATGTAGGGTGAAACTGCGTCAGCAGGCAGCTGCTACCCTGAAGTGTCCCTTGAGCAAGACACTGTATCCCTATCCAAGAATGAAATGGAAAACAAATTCACAATGGGATCTTTCGGAATCATAGCTCCAGTTCTCTTTTTTTTTTCTTAAATATGTTCATATCAACACATTGAATGCATTAAAATGTAACATTTCTTCCCATTTGAGAAGAACTCATCCTGCTGCAGCTTCAGACTCTCAGCTGAAATCTCAAGGCATCCTGTTTGGTATCATCATTTATCACCTTGAAACTTTTTTCCCCTGGTAAACACTTTTTTCTGGCACGTTGACGCTGGCCTCGTTTCTCTCTATGGAACAAATAAAAGCAACCAATAAACAATTTAGCGATATATTTAAAAAAAAAATGGAGTACCAATTTCCTCTAGGCTGAGGGGGAAATGTTGTCACCCTCATTACCCGACGCCTCCTGCCCTCCTGCTAGCTGCATACATACCAAAGACAGCACTAGAGGGAAGAGAAAGGCTCTCAGTTAATATTTAACCAGGCTATGTAAAGACGCAGTCAGATAGTTGAGCTTAGAAGCAAATAGACTCGTGTGTGGCACAGCAGCCTAATGGCTGACATAGATGGAAATACTGCAGCTGAGAGGAAACAGTGAAATACTCAGTATGTAGGAAAACATGTAAATACCATGAATATCATAATATCCTTGTGCGTGCATGTTTTAATGTTGTCTTGGATGAATCTGAAAAAGTCAGTGTGGAAAACTTTAAGGAATTATTGAAATTTATCTTTAACTGGTGACTGAATGTCAGTTTGGTGATCATTCGTTTGAAAACAAGCTGTCATTGCTTTATAAAAATCTACAGGTCGACGACAGCGTCAAATATCTGCTAAAAAGCTCACGGTATGATGGCATAACCGCATCATGATGTCTGGATGTGTGTCAAAAAGAGAGCGCATTTTTTTTTCTTTTTTTTTTTGGCTAAGTTGGCATTACTTGTACCATGTGTCCGCATGTGTGAGAATGTGTGTTTGTATTTGTGTTTTGTATAGAAAGTGCTGCGTGCAGTAGAACAGGGATTTGGTGCCATCAGCACAGTGATGTCAGCACACAGAGACAGACAAAGCCAGAATCCAAACCCTCTCCCAACTACCCACAATCCCGCTGGAAACTGTGGGGGGCCCAGCCCTGGGGGCCCACTGCCATTACACACACACACTTACACAGACGTGTGTTAATGTGCGCATCCACACACAGATACCCAGAAATGAACACGTATGCATTTGTGCTCACAGGTCAATAGATGCATACATACCTGCATACGTGACAAACTTACATGTCCACTCAGTGTATATTAGTAGAAGTATCTCACTGGGACGGGGCTCATGACTGTAGAACTACACTGCAAAAACTGGTGGTCGTGATTTTTTAAGCTAATTTTCACCAATTCAAACGTGATTAAACTAAAACCAACTGCACACCTTCTTTTATAGCATGCTCCTGTAACTCCCTTTTAAGGAAGTTACCCTATGACTTTTTAGGAAATGACAGCTTACACCAGCTTTGTGATAAAATTCAATTCAGTTTTATCTATATAGCAAACCCCGGCAATCAAACGACCCGCTACGAGCAAGCACTTGGCGACAGTGGGAAGGAATATCGAGGGGTGCAAGAATTCTTTACTTCACTTTCCAAAAATACCACCGCTGATTGGTGGTAGCCACACTGCATTATGTGAGCGTCTGTTTTAACTCTGTAACGGCACTGAGCGAGCAGTCAAATCAGAAACACACCTCTGTTTGCTTTGGCCTGGCCCTGTGCCACGCTGTACCAGCCTCAGTCATACGCCTTGCAAATGGGGAATGACATTACTGTTTTTGTGGTGTAATTTACATTAATGTTCTGTCACTGTGCTGATGCAGGTGTTAATAATGATGCAATAACAAGTTTAGATAGCAAAATGTGTGACTGATGAAAGACTAAGAGATGCTGCAAACAGCTATAAATTATTGACAGCTTAAATTCAAGCTAAAGCTATTTTGTTTAGCTAGCAGCAAAGTAAATCTTACGGTTTTCCAGCCTGTCCTCTTTCATTTTCCATTGCTCTACCTGTCCAGTCATACGAGCGCATGAGAGCACTTAGTGAGAGCACTTAAAGAGGGGATTACACACAGATTACCATTTATCCACAGCACATTTTTATGCACTTGGAAATTTTTTTAATTAGTTTTTTGTCTGTGCATCACATATCCCGTCTTGTATAGTTTTGATTTATTATTATTATTGTTATTTTAAATGTTCAATGATATCTTTCTGCCTGTTTGTGGTGGCTCAATATGGTTGTAAAACTAAACATGTCAATCCCATTTTAATTCCATATGATCGATGTCTGGATAAAAAGGATTCTGTCTTCTTCATGAGAAAAAAAAAGCAGAAAATCGCCATGTATATTCGCAAATGTATCGCCTTAAAAACGTGGTCAAACACAGTGTCAAGAGACAGCCTTGAATCCCAAATCAAAATGAAACTGTAAGACTTTCTGTTTTAGCGCTGCTCTGTCCTTGTCGAGCTGTTACGCAACAATTAGTAACTGTTGCTGTTTATCTCGCCTCTTTAAATGCCCCTCTGTCCCAAACAGTAGGAGCCAGACTGGGCCTGGTAGTATGTGTGTGTGTGTTCGTGTTTGCGCATGTTTGAGGCTTATTTTGGGCAGTGAAATCGGCGTAACTCGCCGTACTGGACCCAAACAGTTCTTCATTATGCTGTGAGGAAGAGTCCGCTCGTACTGCCCCCTATTCAGCCAAGACAGGGTCTGAAAGGGGAGCACTATGTACGTGTTTATGTACGTGCTTTTTGTTTGCACGGGTGTGCTTGTGTGTGCGTGTGTACAGTTGTATAGAGCGACTGCAGGGAGCCATATAAAGATATGTGTTGAGCGATTTCTGTCTGAGTTGTGCCCTCATCCCGCCTCCTCCTCACGCTGTCTGTCTGTGAGTGTGTGTTGTAGTGGAGTGACAACAATAGTTTCCTCTGACCCGCATAATGAGGGAGTTCCTCATATTCAGACAGCTGGGAGTGGATCTGCTGTGACGTTAGTTTTAGGCAAAGTTTGCAGTCGTTTTAACCAAAGTCACCTTTAACTTTCTGAATCTAAACTTTAGTGCACAGAGGGGGGGGGAGTCAGCAAGTTACCAGCCCCCGAACACTACTCGTTGCCTGGTAACACAGCCTTGCATCAGGAAACACTGGGAACTATTGTGGGTGTACAAGGATTCACTGTGAACTCTGACCTTATAGTCTCAGCAGCTTTTCACCAAGCCAGAGTGTTTTCATAAATCTGCCTTCTATGAATTCACCTACATCTGCTCTGCTAAACACACAGAATGAATGATTTTATCGTGTTTCTGTACTCTGCTGATCGTCCATTAAATATATCTGAGCATCTGTATGTGGCAATCTTCCTTCTGGGTCTGCTCCTAAGCAGATCTCCAAGTGAATACTGTAAACAAGGCAGAATACATGCTGATTTCCCTTAAAAACAACACTCCATTCCCCCCCCCTTCTTCTTTTTCTAGTGATGTAACGAGAGAGTGAAGACGCGAGTGAGAGAGCGGGACAATGGGAAACGGGATGGCAAAATGACAAATGGTAAGTTTAGGGAACACACCTAAATACACACTCTCAAACACGTACACGCACTCATGCACACAAACACACAAACACACACAGAGTCCCATAGAAAAAGACAGCAATGCCTTGGAGGGTGCCAGTCATGCCCAGCTTCCGCTGCGCTCCAAATTGAGCGTGGCACAGAGTGTATGAAGTCAGCCGTCTGGAAGAGTGCCAAGCATTGTTCCTGCAAGCAGCTGGATGGTAATTACTAGAGAAGGAGAGAGTGAGTGTGAGAGAGAGAGAAGCTTTGCATCCTCACTGCTGTTGACAGATTTATATAGTAAAAGTTGCACACAAACACGCTTGAGAGTACATTGCCGGGCATTGATTTTTATTTATTAACAACCTAAAATCAGTCACAATAAAAATTGTGTTCAATATAGTGGGCAGAAAGCCCCCCACCCCCGAACCCAACTGCTCATTTGAAGTGAAAAGAAAATGAACCAAGATCTCTCAAATAGCTTTTACTTGTTTCAGGCAGCAAATAATTTTAGTAGCAAACGTTATGATGTGGAACGCCGATATCTCTATAAAAAGTGAGCAACTCGATCTGCGCGAGGAGTGGCTAAAAGCTACTGAAAATAATTTGAGAAAATACACTTGTATCGGTACCCAGAGCAACAGCACATTCTTGTTTTGTGTGTCCAGATTTATTAAATGGCATTAAAATAGTGTCCCAAATAGCACTTACATGAGTGGCTAGTCTTACGAGTGATTTACAAAGGTTTTACTGTTTTCTGAACACAGGCGCCGTTTGTTTTTTTTCATATCAAGCGTAAAAAATAAGACATGCTGTTTTCCTAGCATTAAATATTGGTGCGGTCAGCAGTAAACTGCATGTCAGTGTTGGTAAATTACTTCCAGAAATACTTCCAGGAACTTCCAGAAATATATATGCAACATGGTCAGTCGCAAACATCTCTGAGTTCTCAACTCTTACACACAGTCTTGTCACTGCAGTTTCTTTGTCAGTACCAACGGTACTTTGTCTTTAAGACTAAAAACCTGGCCCTTAATGATTTGCGGAGTACCTTTCAAAGGCTGCCAGTTTGGGGGGTAGATCTGGGGAAAGGCTAGCTAATGGTAGCACTAGCTTGGTTAGCTTGCTAATTTTGACTACCCTTAAAGAAATATGCTTAAGCAGAGAAACTGAACAGTTCTACTAGTGAAACAACACATGCCTGTTACTCAAAGCTGCCAGACCTCTACTATTGCCTTTATCCAAATTAAACAGCAGCGGTATAAAGAATCAACATGTCAGATGTCACAAAGTGGGAAATTAGCTTTGTGAGAGCAAAACACATTTTGGAGCCAAGCTGTATAAAAGACAACAAATCTCTTTTGTTTTTAAAAGAAGCTTTAAAATGCCCTGTCCTCAACTACTATAAATTTCCTGTATGGGCTTACCTAACACAAACTATACTACTAGCACTTTTAATCTTCCACTGCATCGCTGCATACATACCATTGTGTGTTTATCAGTTCCAAGCATGTGTGTTGTGCACATTTATCTGATATATATTTTTTTAAAGCTTCAGATATAACCTACATACAGTGAAGCATCTCATGCTGTAAGAAGATTAGAAGAGTAGTAGGGCAGTTAGTCAGAGAGGAGGCCGGGCTGGAGGAATGTGTCAACTTACTGTCAACTATGTGCTGCTTTGTCATGAGACCGCAGAGCACTGGAAACATGTAAAGTTGCCTTTTTCACACCTTCGACTTCTCCCGCCCTCTTCCTCCTCCTCCTCCTCCACCATCACCCCCACCACCCCCCTCTTCCCTCCCCACGCACACAGTGGCAGCAGTAGCCAGGCCAGTGCTAGTGCAGCTGTGACCAGAACAATAGCATTCCTCAGGTTTTAAACGCCTGGCACTTAGATTCCTAACAGTCAAATTCCTAGCAGGGAGAAGCTGGGGGTTGCTATAGGACGCCGAGAGCTGTAAGAAGCCTTGCAAGGAGACGTACGCTGTAAAGCACTGTGTGATTTGGGGTTTTTATGAGAGGGATGGGTTTGGGGTGGGGGGACATCTCTGTCTTCTCACCTTGTGTGTGTCCCCCCCCATATGTGACACTTTCAACACTCTAGTTTTAGCAGTTTAGGTTGAGAGGCGTCCCGCTGCTTTGCCAGGGCGTCATGTGTTGATAGAGGCACCTGTTAAGTCAACACGTTCACCGGCTTGTTTTTGGCACATGCGGCGCTGAAAACCACACAGATGTGTTGAGAGTGACACATTAGTTTTAAGAGTGTTAAATTAGGTGTTAACAAAGGACACAAACACACGCCGGTTGTTTTTCCTCCCTAATTTTGTTCACATTTTCATACAGAAAACATTTTAGAAGCTTAGATCCAAGTGATGTTCTAAAGTTAAAGAATAAACGGTGATGCCAAGGTGCTTGTACAGTCTACCGTTTTCGTTAACAACGTGCCCCAAAATATATATCTAATTTAAACATGTTTAATTTTTTTTTTTTTTTATGTTAGAGAAAACGTTAAGCCCAACATCACGTGTGCCTCTACTGTGATGGTTTTAGTTCAGCACAGCACTGAGCTGCCCCGGCTATCGGCCCAATCTGAAATAACCCCCCAAAATAACGACTCTCTCATTAACCACGCCTGTTTCACAATTTAAATATAAATGAATCCAATTTACAAACCCTTGGCTGCGATGAAGGAGACTCATTTAGAGCCAATCTAAAATTAATGAGGGCATCTGGAGAGAGAGAGAGTGGAGAAGGGGCCCAGTGTGGCTTAACAGATACTGGAGTTAACAAGCTACTGTACTTTAAACACTGGAAAATCCCCATTAATTTTAAAGTTAACACAGCACTGTAGCGTGAATGGTGGAGAAGAGCTTTAATGTTACTTCAAGCACATTACGGTGACATTTTCAGACTGACTCTTGGCCTCTCGCTGTCTTAACCTCCTTTATGTTGTCATACATCAGCGTTTGTCGGTCTCTCCGTAGTCGTGCAGTATTAAATTTTCTAGACGTTTTTTAATATAATGGTCGTGAAAGTGTTCCTGTGTGTACGTGCATTCAACTCTGACACTTCCATCCTGTCGGATTTACAATGAAAAACCAAAGCCCTGAATAGAATAACTCACAGGAATTGAAGGAGGTAATTCTCCTCATGATACGTTTAATTTAGTAAAACTTTGAAACATCTGTATTATTATTGGGTTTTTTTTGTTTGTTTTTTTTACTTTGGTCTCCTGGCTACTTAATGGCACAACAGGTTTGGCAATAAATCTACCCAGGTCGTGGATTTTAGTCCATTAAAACAGCACAGTTCTCGCGCCATTTGCAACGTTCCTTTCCCCTCAGCAGCCGATGGAGTGGCCCCAGCAGATGCCAGCCAGCTCCCAGCCAGCTCCCACAGTGACTGTTTGGTTTTGCAGGTTTAATTCCCGATGGGTTCGGGTCTAGAGTGATTAGGCTGAGCCCTAAAGGCCAGCAGGCTTGTCAGGTGTCTCCACACATTAACGTTGTTCTGCTCACACCCTGAGCTGACAGCACAGCGAGGCAGAGGAGGGGCGGAGAGAAACGCTGATCCGGTGCGGTGGATGGGACAGAAGGATGGAGAGAAAGGGACAGACTGTATTATTTGGATTGGATTGTTAGAACTTTTTTAAAAAAAAAATTAAAAAGAAGTTTTATTTTCATAATTTCCATGATTGGGTGGAACTTTCCTGACATTTAGGAAGTGACTTTAGCAGATAATCAGTTATGTTAAAGGAGAAAATGACGATTGAAGGCTGGGAGCTCATTCATAGTAAGATAAACAATTTCTGGGTCACTTTAAAAGCATCAGTGCCTTGAATTGTTACTATCAAAACTACACCATCATTTATAAAGTGAATCTTTAAGTTTAAATTGATAAAGACTCAATATAACCTGACTCCCAGGGGCATGTGCTGAAGAGTTGTTCATACAGATATGAATATTTCTGTCGCTGCGTGTAAAGAAACACTTTTTTCCCCTGACTTTTAGTTTCATTTTTCTTTTTGCCAGTGAAGGCAACACACTGGTGGGTGCTACCTCAACATTTTCTTTAACCTTTGACCTTAAAACCAGCTGAGTGACAACATTGCTCACTGTTCCCTGCTGGATTCAAATAAACTTGCATTGTGTCTGTGCACAAACAACTTCCTGCATGCAGACGTGCAGCTTGTTAAAAAAAAGAAAAAAACTCTTCCTGCTTCTGACCTCCAACCCCATCCTACTCCACCCACCTCCACCGCTTATACAGCATGGGAGGGGGTGAAGGTGGCGGTGGATGGGGAGGTGGCGTTAGACATAAGGTTTTGAAGTAGGGGGGAAACTTGTGTCCTCGTCTTAAGGAGTGGAGGAGGTGGACAGGGTGGCGGGAAGAGGTTGGATGAGGAGACCTGCTGAGAGGGCAGCTTATATGCGCTCC